GGTTGTAAACATCTGCTTGAAAAAAACATCTACTGCTGATTATTCAGTCTGAAAAATCTACCCATGTTTGGCTGCCGGATGCTTGTTTCCATGGAAACAGACATCCGATTGGGAGGAGAAAAAACAACCCAGCTTTAAGGTAATGTGTGTTTTGAAGGATCTATTGTTGCTTGTCACAATATTAACCCACTCTAATCTAGAAATTCATGTGCAGAAATCGTCGTGCTTTTTAAAAGTAGAGATACGTAACACATCAGGGTCCTCTTGATATAGCTCAGTTCATGGGTAATGTAAGGAGAGAGCTCAGAAAATAAGGGCTTGGTTTTATCACCACTGGTGCAGTTAGTCCATGGTCATTTGTCCTTGACATGTATATTGATTTCTACTGTGATTTAAATGAAAAGGTCATAAAAACCCATCCATTACCAGTAGGAAACCAAACCTTTGAGAGTGCTGTGCCTGAGTGTGCACACTCATGTATTTAGGTAGGTAGATATTCAGTATTTGAGATGGGGACAGATGGAGAAAAAGGCAGAATCGCTTAACAATAAAAACCCATACAGATCATTTATGTATATGCTTTATCTACGGTCCTCTTACCATTCCACAGCCCAGACAGCACTAAATGGGCTTCAGTTCAAGCATTTGGCTTATGTGAATTGTGGATCCATCCCAGCCACCTACTGAATAAATCGGACATTTGTCCCGAGTGCTCTAAAGGGAGTGTTCAGCAACTAGTGCTTTGTCTCTGATCATTTTGTCAAGCCTGGTAGATGGAGGGGGGGGGAGAGAGAGACTATTGTTTTGAGACAATTGGAAGCCATAAGGTTGTCAGATTTGTAAACCAACCTTTAACTATGTATTTAAAAGCCCTTTAACCCTACAGGCATTAACCAGTGTTTCAGCTTATCTCTGTGCGGCAAAGTTTTCACCTGTGAATTCTTGCTTATGATGCTGCTGCTGAAGGCATAGTGGCATACTAGTAGGATTTTTTCCTGCAAAGTTGTCACCCCAGCAGAAAGCAACCTCCTACAATATTGAAATGAATTGAAACATGATTTATTTCAGATAGCTATGACATCTGGGATGGAACAGAGGCAAGCCAGTAGCCAGAAATGGTCTCAAAATGGGATTTAACGGGTTGAGGAATCATCACCACATAACAGAGACAGTGGCTCCCCGTTTGTGAAATGCTCTCCCCAAGGAGGCTCGCCCAGCACCTTCCTTACATATCTTTAGGTGCCAGGTGAAAACGTTTCTCTTCAGCCAGGTGTTAGGCTGATTAACATTCTATGTGTCGGGGGGGGGGGGTGTTATTGGTTTGTTTTGCTTCTGTTTTTATTTTATTTAGTATTTTTTGTTTCCATTTTGTGTTTCCATTTTTATGTTGTAAACTGCCTGTGATATACAAATTTAATAAATGATAATAATGTGGCCTTAGTAAGCAATTGGATAAGATACTGCCAGCATGCTTTTAATTCTACCAATAAACAGGGATAAGGCACACACACCTGTGGCTACAAAACTAATCAGAGAAGAAAGGAGACGTTTGGAATGGTTTCTGTGTTGACCTCTTGAGAAGGGGAAGGGAATTGGGGCTGCATCCTTTGCAACACTTACTTGGGACAAGTTCCGCTGAGCATAGTTGGACTTACTTCTGAGTAACCTGCATAGATTTGCTGTTTAGGTATGTGGCATGAGAAATTTACATGTGAACAGAATTAATCCCAAGTACCCAGTGCTATGTTTAAAAATGGGACCAGGGACCAGTTATAAACTCGTTTGAGTTTATAACTTTATTCTAACAAGACTCTTGTCCCAGGCATCAGACAAGCTCTGCACAGGCCTTGATATAGGTACCATGTAGTGTTAAACTACAACCTGAGACCATAGCTGTCAACGTTTCCCTTTTTTAAAGGGAAATTCCCTTATTCCGAATAGGATTCCTCGCAAGAAAAGGGAAAATTTGACAGCTATGCCTGAGACACCAGGATTCCAATCCCCACCCCCATGAAGCTAACTGGGTAACCATGGGTCAGTCACTGTTTCTTAGCCTAATCTACCTCATGGGGCTGCTTTGAAGATAAAAAGTGGAGGGGGCAGAACCATGTAGATCTTGAAGCTCCTTGGAGGTAAGGCAAGGAGTAAATATGCTCATCCTGTGCACACTTAGAAGTTAGAGTCACAGTGAGTTTAATGGGAACTTTCCCCCACTGAAATCAATGTGATTTAAACATGCCTTAATTCTGGATGTATCATGGTCTTTCTCTCTTTTCTGCCAGAAAAAAGATAAAAATAAATCAGTTAACAGATTAACAAAATATGCGTTGAGGACTGTACATTTTTGATATAGCAGTTGCATTTTATTATTTGATGTCTAATTTGTATATTTCATCCTCGTTAAAGTTACAGCATACAATTTATGGTAACACACGTGAGTGGTTTTCAGTTTATAATTAGTATTTTTATAGCAGCTTCCACTAAAGCATCTGCCAGCATTTTACAAACATTAGTAAATGAACTCTAACAATGCTCCTCTGAATTAGCTGTAATTTATGAACTTCTATCAGAGAATGTACCAAATGGAGGAACTGCCGATATGCAAAGAGCCTCCAGGGTGTGACTAAACAGACTCACTTCCTATTGTTGCAGACCTCCAAATATGTCGAGGACACCTGCTGGAAAATAATGAGGCAGAGGTTCTCCAGGGAATACAGTTAACCCATGCACACAAACAGCACCGGAGAAGCTGCTTTAGTGTCAATCAGGAAAATGGTCAGAATGTTGTTCGTAGGTTTTAAAAAAGCAGAAAATAGCTATTTCCAAACTAAACGTAGATTCTGGGGCTTGGCTGTGTGACAAACTTAAATCAGCTTCAAGCCTGTTTCACTGCCATTTCTCGTAAGGAATCCTGGGGACTGTAGTTCTGTGAAGTGGGCTAGAATTGGCTCTGCAGTCTTCCTGAGCTAATGTGTATCCGACTTCTTTGTTCAAAAGATGTGAAAGTGACATCATTCAAGCATAATGTTGGCTGTGAACCATGGTTAGGGAAATTAGCCAGTGTGTGCAGCTCAAGGGCACTCTGCTTTGCTGCTCTCTTTCTAAAGAAGCAAACCATAGCACAGCTGGTTTAATGTTACATGCAAACCAGCACTTGTGATTCCCCCCCCCACCTCCTCGATTGCTCATCGTTTGTATGTGATTAAAAGAACCCATGAGTGCTGGTTCATATGTTAACACTAAGCCAACCACTCTGTAGTTTGTTTCCTTACACTAGGAAACGGGATTGGTTGAGCTATGTGCACATGCTTATTTTTCTAACTATAGTGTATGGCTAGGGTTCTACCAGTGAATTAAAACAATTTCCAAATGGGTTTAATTTAAAGATGTAGGGTAGATGTGCTATATATTGCACAGAACTGCAGTTCCAGAGAAGGGATGTAGGAACGATTTAACCAGAATGCAGACATCTTAGAGTACTGTACTGGGTCATCTTAAAGTCTAACACATCTACAGTACAGTGGTACCTTGGGTTAAGTACTTAATTCGTTCCGGAGGTCCGTACTTAACCTGAAACTGTTCTTAACCTGAAGCACCACTTTAGATAATGGGGCCTCCTGCTGCTGCCACGCCGCCGGACCACGATTTCTGTTCTCATCCTGAAGCAAAGTTCTTAACCTGAAGCACTGTTTCTGGGTTAGCGGAGTCTGTAACCTCAAGCGTATGTAACCCGAGGTACCACTGTATTGTGGCACAAGCTTTTTGCAACTAGGTTTTAGTTTCCCAGAAAACCCCCCAGAGTTTATACCATAATAATCTTTAAGATGGCACAGGACCTTTGGCTGTTGTTCAGTTACACTGCCTTAATCCCATGGTGTACATACGTTACAATGTCGAGCCAATGCCAGTTTTACATTTGAGTTAGAAATGTGAAATGCAAGTACTTATAATGTTTGTGGTTAAAAAATCCCTAACAATAAAGCCGTGTATATTTGGTTTCATTTTGTTTAAATCTGTGTAGGTAACCTGTGGCCTTCCAGGTGTTGGCATTGGGCTCAGGGTTCCACCGTCCTTGGCCATTGGTTATGCTGGCTGAAGTTGACGGTGGTTGAAGTTCAACATCTGGAGGGCCACAAGTTCCTCACCCAATTTTAAACCTTCCTTCTCATTTTCCTTTTGGCAGATTTTGACATCCTATATTCTGTTATATGGCCAGATTCCACTGAAATGAGCTCTTGATCATCAAGTGAGGTGCCAAATAACTTCATCTAAATGAGGTGGAACTGCTCAATTAAAGACTGGTGTGATTCTAGATTCAGGCAGGTAGCCATGTTGGTCTGATGCAGTCAAAATAAATTAAAAAATAAATTAAAAAATTGTCCAGTACCACCTTAGAGACCAACTAAGTTTGTTCTTAGGACTACAATCCTAACACTACACATTTGCAGTCTTATGGTGGTGCAAAACCCAGTGAATTCAGGTAAGCATGTTCAGGCATGAGTTGAAACTTACATAAACATCTTATTAGAGAAAGCTACATTGAGCTCAGTGAAGCTTGCTTGAGAATTAAAGGGCCACATGCAGGGGCTGCAAGGCCTTTTTGAGTAGAAGGGAGTGTGATTAGACCTCGGTTTTTTTGCGGAGGGAGGGCGTTTTCGTCTATTCTAAGGTCAAATGATTGACATGTAAGCAGCGGAGACAGGAGGGAGAATGAGAACAAAGGGACACTCTTCTGTTGCCCCAGGCAAGGAATGGACCGCGACGCCCACAAAGGTTGCACGGAAGTTGGAGAAGGAAACCAAGAGCCTGCCAATTTCCCATATATTGCCTCCATCCACCCGTCTTAAAAAAACCCAAAAAACTTTTATTGCACCCAGAGACACTCCCCTGCACTACATTTCCCATCATGCCATCACAATAGAAGGGGCTAGAGAGAAAGAGAACGCTCCCCTCCTTTTCTCCCCCTCCCCGCTGCGCGGCACGTGCCGCCTTTCTCAGCCAATAGGGGGCGTGGCCGATGCAGGTCACGTGCCTTTGTTTGCCGCTTTTGTGGGGAGCGCTGGGCGGTTAGGAGCTGAGTCTGTGTGTAGCCGCCGCAGTGACAGGAGCAGGTGGGTTGCCTAAGAAGCTGGTTTGAATCCGAGGCGGGGCCGGGAACGGCGATAACGAGCGGTCGGTCCTTCACTGCGAGGGGCAAATGGGGCTTCGTTTGGTGGGGCGCAGCGGAGTGCGTTGTTGGGGAAGAGGGGCGAAGGGGGTTTCTGGGGCGGGGTCTCTGAAAAATCCGCTTTTGTCTCAGACGGCTCCGTTGCTTTGTCACCAGAGTGGGCTGCTGCTGCTTTTTAAGCGAGTGGGTGGCTCGGTGGTGACCAGCGGGTAGGAGCGGGGGACAAAGGACCGCGAGTGAGGAAGGCAGAAGGGGCGCGTGCTCTCCTCGCGGAGGCTATTGTTCGCTCGCGCCCCCACCCCAGTTCCGGAACGGACTGGCGGCGCCCGCTCCCATTTCCCCGTCCTCTGGTTTTCTTCTTGACAGGAGTAGCCCGTCTATTGTTGGAGGGAAAGGGGCGGCGCCGCTGTTGCTGTCGAAGCTGCCACCGCCGCCGCCACCTTGTCGCGCCCGCCGACGGGGATTAAAGGGAGGGGGCGGCAGGCGCGTTCCTCAAGCGGCGTGAGGGGCTAAAAATGTGACTTAGGAAAAAGGTGGGAGAGGGCGGGAAAGAGAAGAGACCCCGCGTGCAGCGGGAGGAAAGCGAGAAGAAGCCCCGAGCCCAAATAGACGAAGAGGCTCGCGGCTGAGGCGGGTTTTTTTGTGTGTGACGCCGTCTCGCTCGGGATTGTTTTGGCGCGCCGAAAACGGGAGGGTGGAGGAACGCGCGAGCAGCAGGTGCCCGGATGTTACCGTTATAGCTCAGATTCTTCCCTCCCCTCAATTTTTTTTTTTCTGAGGGTGGAAGCGCGCGCGCGCGCTCTCGGGCTGTTTGAATTCGGTGCGGTTCTAGAATGGCGCGTGGGGTGGGCGGGGATTCGAGGCAGGCGCCGCTCTTCCTTTTTCTCCCCCCCTCCCCCATCTTTCCCCCCCTTCCACTATCTTGCATTATCTCTGAACTTATTGGCTGTGAGTATTTTCTCCTGGTCCCGCCCCATATTATGTAGTAGAAAGCCAGTGAGGGCATTTTTTCAAAACCACCCACCCCTGCTTTCAGATCTTGGGCGATGTTGCTAGCATTTGGTTTTTCAGCCTGACCGCAGAAGAGGTGCCCCTTAAGAACCCCAGCTTTTTGCTGTTGTGCGTGTTTTATTTCTTCTCCTCCTCCCCGCAAAAGAGCTTTGTTTGCCTGGGAATACAAACATACATATGGGTGCCATTGTGCTACATTTAATTAGATATTATCTTAAGAGGTCAGGGGCGGAAGAGAAGAGGTTAGGGCAAGGCTCAGATTTATTTAATGTATGCCGCCTTGCTGTGTTAATACTGGGTTTAGCACAAACGGTTCTAGATCTCGATTATAGTGAGCTACCCTTTGTGTCTCGAGGTAGCAAGAACAATGGCGCATACCAATCCTAGGCTAGCAGATAAAAAGGAAATATGTCATCTTTCTGAGGCTCCTGAGGGAGGGTTTTAGTGAATCTAGGAGCATATATGTAAGGCTTTGATTGCTTTTAATCAACGTTGAAGGGGCAGATGGAGCACATCTGCCCAGTGGATTAGTATTCATTGCTGGAAATAAATTTCAAACCTTAGTGTCTTACTTTTAGGTACCCTTGGATATAGCTGGAGGAGGGGGAGGCAATAAAATTCTCAAACATAGCAAACTTCTTGGTGCCCAAGCAGCCTGCACTCTAGCAATCTATCTAGCCTTAGGTGCCTTCATTTGTCTAGCTGGTAGGAAAATCTGGTGTACCTTTTACAAAATACTTGCACTTCTGGTTGCCCACTATCTACTTAAGAGCTTGGGGCACAGAATTGTTAATCCCAGACATAAATAACAGGATGTTTGAAATGGACACATGTAATTTGAAAACTATTCATATTCACCTAGCTTGAGACACAGGACCAGCCCCTGCTTTATTGTGTATATCGGTAATGCAGTGTAAGACTGGTCTGCTTCACTCCAGTAAAGCACCAAGATTGTGTTGTAGCATCTTGATTAATTTCTTTTAATACAGTTTTGAATAATATGAGTTAACAGTGGTGGATCCTTAGTGTTGGGGGTGGGGCTGATCCGAGGACATAACTTAATTCAGAGTACATCATTCTAGATATTTACTATGTATAGCAGATTGGTTTCTTTTTTCCAGGTGTGTTATTTTGCATGTCATCCAAACCTAAATAAGGACTAGAAACTGGTAGAAGGAAAACACTGAATAGAGAAGTTCAAGTCCTAACGCTTATGTAATGATACTATCTATCTAATGTTTCCATCTTCTTAGTGCTCACCTATTGAAGTTCCTGCAGCAAATTATTTTGGAATCTACTTCAGCCATGGCTTCTTCTGGTAAGTGCTACTTTATCTACTAATACTTGTGTTAGAATCATGGGACCCTGAGGATCATCTAGTCCAATCCCCTGCAATGAAGGAATATACAGCTGTCCCATACAGGGGTCAAACCTGCAACCTTACCATTATCAGCACCATGCTCTACCAACTGAGCTATCCAGATATACGTAATGATGTCTCAAGATACATTTTTAATAAATTAAAAGCATTCTAAGTTACTTAATACTTAAACATCAGTAAAATGTATATTAAAATGCATTATAATTTTTTCAATCGCATCAGCATTAACCTGCCAGTGTTACAGCTATATTACACATACTGAAAAGCACAGATGACGTCTAGGCTTGAATGATAGTGTTCTTGTCAGGTGCGATATAACTAAGGTTCATACCTACATCCTGTGACAACTATTACAATGTCTATAACTGTCCTCAAATGGTGTTTTTATTGTAGTTTGACTATGTGTGAAACTAAATTTTGCTGTAGGTGCCCAAATATTGATGGTAGGATAACTGTACAGGTCTTAAGTGTGAATATTTAGCAAATGCCTGTATTAAAACATAAGGCACTTTTAAACTGGATTTGTTGTTTTCAAGGAAACAGGGATTGTGCCTTTGTGGAGGTACTTTGTATTCCATTATAGGCCCCCAGGGATCTCAAACAACACTTAACGATGTGGAGGGAAGTGGGAGCCTCAATTAACTAGTCAAACAGGTTATAAAGTTTGTACTGCAAATGCAGACTTGAAATTTGATTTGCTTCCTTGAGCTTGAGGGCACTTATAAGCAAAAGTGTGTGTTAGCATGATGTGGCTCAAGGATACTAACTATTACTTACAATGTCTCTTCTAGACATTCAGGTGAAAGAACTAGAAAAACGTGCTTCTGGACAGGCATTTGAATTGATACTTGGCCCTCCTTCAAAAGAAGCTGTTCCAGAGTTTCCCCTCTCTCCTCCAAAGAAAAAAGATCTCTCACTGGAAGAAATTCAAAGGAAGCTAGAAGCAGCAGAAGAAAGGCGCAAGGTAAACATTATTTTTCTAGTTCTAAATACTACACTACATTGTGCACAAGTGTATACTTGAAATGGTAGCCAGTTTATAGAATTTACCATTAGGAATGCCATAGCCCATGAAAAATGCCTCAAACTGGATGTTACAGTACCTTAATAGTTATACTAAATTGAGAATTAGATAAAGATTAATAGTTCAAATAGAATTGCTGCAGTTCTGTTTGAATTTAAGTATACTGGAAGTGGAGAAAGAGATCCAAGACAAATGGGGGAGACACACTTGTCTATTCCATGTCTGCCCTGATTTGGAACTAGCTTAGCTGCTAGTAGACTGAGGCCACTATCAATGACTCAGATGATACTTAACACAGCCCAACAACTGTAATTGCATACAGACCACTCTCAACTAAACATGGAATGGATCTATATTCTAGTCCCATGAAGCTGAAGTGTTGAAGCAGCTAGCTGAAAAACGAGAGCACGAGAAAGAGGTGCTGCAGAAGGCAATTGAAGAAAATAACAACTTCAGCAAAATGGCAGAGGAAAAGTTGACCCACAAAATGGAAGCTATCAAAGAGAACAGAGAAGCACAAATGGCTGCTAAACTGGAGCGCTTGAGAGAGAAAGTAAGTCTGGTATTTAAGATTCTCTATAAAATAATGGAATATGAACTTGGACCACCAGTGACATTTACAAACTAGGAACAGTAGACCTTGGTTTAAAAAATAAAAATTAACACCTAACTGCTCAGAATTTGTACATAATTATTTAATTTTGGAGGGAATGAACTATTGGAATCACAGGACTTCCTAAGTAGCAATAAGGTAAGACCAAGTCAACAAATAGACAGTTAATACATACAGGTTTCTACTGATAACCACTTCCCTAACATTTGACTAAAACAAAATAGCTGCAGTTAGTTCTTTGTTTTGTCCCTGTGTTGAATAGGTATTTAGTGGTAGAGTTTAAAGAATGCTTTTGATAAATGAGAACTGCACAGAGCTGGAGGTACTTAAAAACTGGATGGGTGGATTTTTTTTGGCTGCATGAAGCTTAAATGTTAACCTGTTGGGATGAAAACCATGCTTCTCAAGTCATTAAACTATAGGGTGCCAATCTGCTTGAGTGCATCACTATGTAAAACCCCAGGATATGCTCCACAGAAACTGCAAATTGTAAGTTTTATTTTAGTCCAGACTTTGCATTGTGTTTATAGAAACAAAACAGTTTTGGTAGCAGTAAAACCCCTGAAGAACCAGGTTCTATCTCAATATCTTAACTCTTGCTTTACCAGGACAAGCATATTGAAGAAGTACGGAAGAACAAAGAAGGGGGGAAAGAATCTGGTGACAACGAAAGCGACTGACTTCATCCTGGAAACTGACTTTCTCCCCTTTGTCTAAATATCCAAAGACTGTATTGGCCAGTGTTTTTGTTAAGTTTCTAGAAAACTGATGTAGAGCTGTATAGTTAGATCCAACTGTACACATGCTTTGGGGAGCTAGAGGGGAGCCCTTTTCATGTTCACTCTTTTTCTAAAATGTTGTCTTTCCAGTGTAGCTATCTTGTTGCATTTCTTCTATTCCAGTGCATTTGTTCCTGGATTGATGGCTAGTGCTGTATTCAGCTCTGACATATTTGTGAAAGAAATATGTAGTGTAATGCTCATGCTGAATCTGTTACACTTCAGAATCTGTCGGTTTTAAACATATTACTGTAACCAAGTGACTTAATAAAAGCTGCACAGTGCTGTTATCACAGGTGACTGTTTCTGAGACTAGCATGACTAAATATGCAACTTGGGCATAGCTATGGCTAGAACATTTTGATGCAATAAAGAACAAAAAATGCTTGCAAGCAATATATCCAATGGCTAGTCATGTTTCACAGTAGCCAGCTTCCTTAGTTGTTGCCTATTGTCCCAGTTTCACAATAAGAGCTTTGTCTTGCACCTCAGCAGTTGTCAGCTGGTGGTTTGTTAAACAATTAAGAACCATCTCCCTCCCTGGATAGGCTTGCACTTTGTAACAAATAACTTCTTGTTAACGTGACTGTGATCTGACTTCTAAAGCATTTGCCTGTTAGTTTTTAAGTTTCATTTAAAATTTTGGGGTGTCCATACACCCTCAAGCTCCAAGTCACCATTTTTGCAAACTGCTCTAGGTTCAAGTATAGTGCTTGGGATAAGAGAAAGCTTAGGTGGTGCTGGATATTAAAGAGACTTTATTGTTGAAACATACTGACTTAATACTTTTAAAAGGGAACTTGTGGATCTTGTAAAATGATTGCATTGTAGAGCCTTAAATTGGTTTTGGGAGTTGGGTGTGGGGAATGATAGCAAAACAATGATCTGAAAGATAGTGTCTGCCAAATAGTGCTTGTTTTGTATCTTAGTGTTGTAAAATGTATTTGCCAGTTGGAGCAGCTCCCCCATGTGGCAAACAATGTAACTACATAGTCCCAGTATGGAATTCAATATTCCATTCTGAAGTATGGGCTTGTAATAAATACTTAACATTTCAGTGCACAAACAACTACTGCAGGCACAATACTTAATTCAGAAAATAAATTATAAATATTTTAAAGAATAGATGGCTTTTCTTCACTTGCAGTACGGGGAACGCCCAACCTAGCTAGTACTGTGTTCATAACCAAACTACTTTGATGAGAGCCACTTAACAAACCTTTTCTCCCCAACTCCCCCCCCCTCAAGCTTCTGGAATGTTTCATAAGTAGTGTGACTGGTACCAGGTTATTCAAGCTGTATTTTAATGGCATAAATGCAAAATTGCTTCCTGTCCATGTCTGTACAGATGTGTGCTTGGTCAACTTGCTCATTACATCAACATATAAACATTACTCTGTAACCTATTAGATTTAGTCAGCCATCAATAAATAGACATAACTAAATTGGTTTCTTTTCCTTGCTGCCTATAGATAGTAAATACCTTGCCACTGAAAGCGCTTGTGATGCTTTAAAATGGGGGGGGGGGAGAGAAAAATGAATGCTGAATGTGTGTAATTGCTAACTGGGAAGTATTCTTAAAACATCTCCCAAGTTTTCTTGGAGAAATAGGGCCTCACTGCATTCCTGCTTACCTCAATGGGAACTTGAGGTAAGTGCATCCAAGATAATCTTGTCCCTGTTCTGTTGCTAAGGGCTCCTTAGAACTTTCAATTTGATTTGCTTGCACAAAGCTTAGGTGGCGGTTAGACATCCCAATTTGCTTGTGGGATTGTCTACATTGTCTTACTGTTCATTGATTCCCCACCCCACGCTTCTCAGGGCATCTCCCCATTACTTAAAACAAGGTTTTTAAAATGAAAATTGATGCACTAGGGTGACAGACCACAGTTGTCCAAAGCTTAAAGTTCTTGTATGTGCTTGAATCACTCCTGCAAAATAGTGGCAAGTCTGGAGGTACACAAACTCTCTCCCATAGTCTGGAATAATTCAGTATTTTGCATCACTTGTCCTCTAGCTATGCACCAGATGGAAATATCTTGCTTAACAGACCTTGTGCAGGTAAAAAGTTTGTTTGATACCAAAGTTCACAAGGTAATGATGAAGAAACATACCAGTTGGCATGCCTTTCTGGTACTTTCCGCTGTCAAGTCCTGAGTGCAGAGACTAGAAATGGGTAAATTAATGTATAGTAAATATAACTATTTACTATAGTTGAGACTCGAATACTTTGGCCACCTCATGAGAAGACTAGACTCCCTGGAAAAGACCCTGATGTTGGGAAAGATGGAGGGCACAAGGAGAAGGGGACAACAGAGGACGAGATGGTTGGATAGTGTTCTTGAAGCTACCAGCATGAGTTTGACCAAACTGCGGGAGCAGTGGAAGACAGGAGTGCCTGGCGTGCTCTGGTCCATGGGGTCACGAAGAGTCGGACACGACTAAAAGACTAAACAACAAATAGCACAATACAGCTGCCATTCTGAAGGGATGAGCCAGGCATGCAGGAGAGGCTGCTCTGAAAAAAGCACAAGCAGGGCTTTAAAACTTAATGAGGCAAATAAGCAGTGGCTTAATTCTCTACCCCAATGAATAAGAATTTTTATTTTGTGAACCACCCTGAGATCTTTGATGAAAGACTGTATATAAATAAAAAATATTAAAGGTGTGTACTGTGGGTGGTGGAAGACTATTGAGAAGACTATTGAGAAGTTTTTAAAACTTCTAAATGATTAATAGCTGTGCATATAGTCAGGGACGCGGACTTATAAAAAATATTGGGGGGGCCCGGGAAAGCTCATGAATAATAAATAAGCTCATGAATATGCAAATAAAGTGGCGCCGCCTCCTCGTGAGCGAATAGGGGAGAGCGTGCTGCGCCTATTAATCAGCTCCAAAGGAAATTGGGTGGAGCTTTTGCTCGGGAGGGAGGGCAGGAGGCATGCAGCCCGCCCCTCCCTGTGCATTTTGGGCTGGGGGAGGGGCGGCGATGGCGCTCTGCTGGAGGGGCGCCGGAGATTATTGGGGGGCGGAGCCCCCCCAAACGAATTTTTGAGGGGGCTCGGGCCCCCTCAAGCCCCATGGAGTCGGCGCCTATGCATATAGTCCAACACAAAATACAGCTTAGTGTGCCTTTGCTAGCAGCCATTTGGACATGTAACACAGATTTTGCATTATTCAGTACTTCAGATTTAGCTTGCTATCTAGTAAAATATCAATGAATTCCAAACTGGGCAAATAAGATTACCAGTATGCAGTACACATTTATATTCAAACGGTTGTAGCACATAAATGCAGGTAAGCAATGTTTGAAAGCATAAAACTCAGAAGAAGTGAAACTCATAAAACTTAATAGTATGATTTTTCCCATAATGGCTTTGCCATAGGGTAGTGGGAAGACTAAATTAGCCATTGGGTGAATCAAAAGGTGGATGTCCCACATGTCAGAAGTCCCTTGTGCAGCATTTCCTGAACAGCCTGCTGGGTGTTGGGCATGGGAAATGCGCGGAATGGGACTTTGCTAGACCTGAGTTGGGCAAAAATGTTTTCTGCAGGCACTGGCTGTGAAAAGTTTTTCACACAAGTAGGTCACAGCTCTTTCAGCCATGCATTTACTCCATTCTTGTGTTACATGATGACTGGTTTGAGTCAAGTGAGTGTAGTTTAAGGAACAAGGCCTGAACCTACTTGGGGTTTGTGCTGGGCCTAATTTGGCCTGTGCCCCAGAACTTTTCCACACCTGTCTTGGCATGAAAGCACAGGATCTATGAAAGGTGATTGTGTCTGCTTTGTTCCCTGGTCCTTTGCTGTTGTGCTAAGGTACGATTTGGTTTAGTGTGTTGTCTGAACCTGGGCTCCTGGTTTAGCTTTCCTGGACAAACCTTGCAGTTAGTCTAGGGAGAGAGAAAAACAGTGGGTCTGGACGTGGGTGTAGCCAGGATTTGTGGGGGAGGGCAGCGCTTCAGTTAGCTATGTATTTTTATTGGGAGGGCAGTTACCCTTGCCCCTCTTGGCTACGCCCATGGGTTTGGATAAGTTGACACAGAGTGATGCAACAGCAAAAACCAATGAGAAGCAAAGCAGTCATTTTCTGGGAGTCCCTACACTGGTGAATTTCTGGTAAGGCAGGTTAGTGGTTGGAGCCCACTCAAGGATGGTGGTGGGCAGAATTCCTGCTTTGCGTGGGGTTGGACTAGATGGCCCTTGGGGTCCCTTCCTACTCTCCAATTCTATGATTCTTTGCTGCTTCCCATTGGGGTCCATGTAAACATAAAGCAGAAAGAAGCTGCCCAGGACCCAGAGGAACAGTGCAGGATCCTAGTGCAGAGTCCAATGGGTTGGCAGGCATTGGACCAGGCTTCCTCAACCTCGCCTGCTAGATGTTTTTGAGACTACAATTCCCATCATCCCTGACCACTGGTCCTGCTAGCTAGGGATCATGGGAGTTGTAGGCCAAAAACATCTGGAGGGCCGAGGTTGAGGAAGCCTGCACTGGACCATCTCAGGTTATCTCCTCCATGCTTTATGGCAGCTCATGTTTTGCAACAGAGGCGATTGGGGATAAGGACACGGAGAACAGGGCTCCTCTGCCTTTAATAACAGCACAGAGGATGGAATTTTTGGCACATGAGGCGAGAAAAGCTGCGCTTCCCGGGATTCCCCACACGCATCTTCCCTCGGCGTCTGAGGGAGGGAAACGCAGCACGCACGTCCCCTTCCTGCAGCTTCCGCATTGGGGTCCCCCCCCCCCGCGCGCCTTTCTCCCGCCCGGCGCTACTTTCGGGTGTCGGCTGCAACCTCCAGGGGGCGCAGCGCCTCGTTGGTCCCAAGTCTTCGGCGGCGCTTCTGTTTGGTTTCTGCCTGCAGCTGCGTGGGAAAAAGCAAAACAGACGAGGCGGGTCTCTTGGGGAGAGGCGGCTGTTGCCGCAGAGGGGCGGCCTTGCCCGGCTAGGCTGGGTCGGCGCCTCTCTCTTTTTGCTCTTCCTTCGGCGCTTTCAGACGAGCATCCTCAGGAAGAAGCTGCTGGCGATCGGTAAGAGGAGTGGGGGGGCACCGGAGTGAGAAAATGCGGGTCCCTCTCCTTTTAAGGGACAAGATGCCCAGTGCGACGGGACTGTGTAGTAATAGAGCAAACCGGGGATGAGAGATTTCTGCGGGGAGCAATTATTTGCATAATGCAACGCGAGTCCGGGAGGCGTTTAGAGAAACTGAGGAAAGTGCGCGCGCTTTTGAGTTAAGGTGGGTGGCTGGGGGCAGTTTCCTTTGCTCCCCGATCCTATGCAAGCTTGCTTTAGAAGTAAGCCCCAAAGACATCAGGCGGCACTTACTCTCGAGCAAGTGTGCACCGGATCACGGTTTCCTTTGCAGCTTGGCTACACTTCGGAATAAACCCCACACAGCTCACGAGGACTTGCTCTAGAGTAAACGTGCATAGGATTAGTCTGCAAGCTTTTACCGCCTCAAACTTTCTAACATCTTGGTAGTTCGTAAGAAAAGTTGGTCAGTTTAAACTATGGAGCGATCAGGGAGCTTCCCTAATAGGAGGGAGCGCGGGTGGGGAGACCAGTTTTTCTTCTAAAATGGGCGTGAGGTGTTTTTTTCCTCTGGATTTAGGGCTATAAAATGGGGCGGTCAGCCTGTGGATCTTTCCATTGCTGGCGGGGTGTGTGTACCTTGCTTGGAAAAAGAGCGTCGGTCAGCCAGTATATATGGCTTTTTTTAAAAAAGAGAGAGTGTTTCACAACTTTAAAATATGGAACCAAACGTTTGAGTACAGGGAGAGGCAAAGCAAGCCAGGGCTTGCAAATGTTGGGTGAGGTGTTAAAGAGAATGCGAAGTCTCGCAGGCATCTTTATTTTTAAAAGAAAGAAGAGGTGGTAGTGGAATTTCTGAATGCAGGAAAATAAACAAGTTCTCACATGGATTCCGGCTTAAGCAGCTTCTTACAGGTCCGTTCCTATATAGACAATTCAAACCCCGCCTTCATCCCTTTGCATTATATAACAATGGGGTTCTGTTATGTATCCAGGCTGTTGGGTTGTGGGGAAAAACTGGGAGGAGGTTGCTATTAGTGCTGTTGGCAGCCTGTGGGAGAATTGGAAGTCTAATGATCACCAGACTTTCAGCTGATTCAAAGACTGACATGTGCATATTCCCTCATGTTATTTTCATTGTCTCAAAAAAGCCACCTATCACTGAATAAGCAGGATGCCTTGCTCTTTTTAGAAGAGTTGGTGTAGTGAGGTGACTTGGCCGTCTTATTTTTGTAAGCATATTTAACAGTAACAGGTACACAGCCTCGATCTACAAGGCCTGCTCAAAAGTGCTGAGGAACAGGCTAGGGTGGCAGGTGGCGAAATAAGTTAGTAGTTGAAGGGAGAGCCAGCCCTTCTCCTGAAACTTTGGAGGGCGCCCCGCTGGGAAAGGGGGCTCCAGGGTTTCAGAGAGAAGGCTCCCTTCAGCTGCCACCTAATCACTCTCACTAAATCCATCCGGACTTAAGATTGCTAAATTTCCTGCCTTGGTTCTGGCGGCCCATGGCTTGGTTCAGAGTAGAAGAGAGCCTGGCATTTTCCCTCTGAGCACTGCAAAAAACCCCATGTTTGTTATGTTAAGAAAGTGATCTCAGCCAGACGAATCTTTGGCTAGGAGTGGGTGCTCGTGGTGTTAGGAATTCTGACCAAGCCCATCTTTGGCAACAGATGAAAAAATGCCTTTGAACAGAATGTTTCCTGGAAGGAGGAGGTTGAGTGGGTTGCAGTTTAATGGTGGTGGAAATCAAGGCCAGGCAATGCTTTTGTTGTTGATTAATTATTTCATTAGGGATGCGGGTGGCGCTGTGGGTAAAAGCCTCAGCGCCTAGGGCTTGCCGATCGAAAGGTCGGCGGTTCGAATCCCCGCGGCGGGGTGTGCTCCCGTTGCTCGGTCCCAGCGCCTGCCAACCTAGCAGTTCGAAAGCACCCCCGGGTGCAAGTAGATAAATAGGGACCGCTTACCAGCGGGAAGGTAAACAGCATTCCGTGTGCTGCGCTGGCTCGCCAGAGCAGCTTTGTCACGCTGGCCACGTGACCCGGAAGTGTCTCCGGACAGCGCTGGCCCCCGGCCTCTAGAGTGAGATGGGCGCACAACCCTAGAGTCTGTCAAGACTGGCCCGTACGGGCAGGGGTACCTTTACCTTTTTAATTATTTCATTCATTTTGGGGATTTTAAAAAAAAAGGAAGAAGAATTTACACACACACACACACACACACACCAATCTATTTGACAAAAATCTAGAGTTGTAGTTACAAAAGTTAGAAGCATGAAACAGGATTCCCCCCCCCCTTCCTGGCTTGATGAAAGAACTTGGTCAAATCTGGGATGGAAGCTGAATGTTCTTGGATCTTAAAGGATGCAGGTGTTGGAATCCTAATTTCCCATTGCTCAGGTAGCCTGTTGTAATGGATTTAGCTCGAATGGTGTTGTACAAAGTAAGCTGCTGGCTACTGCTAGCCAGCTGGCCAGAATCCCGTATCTCCAGTGTTCTTCCTCTATCATGATTTGATTGCTCAAGTCAACCCAATGGCTTAATTATTGTGTATTAACTACACAAAGGCACACCTGCAATCCATGGCTTTTTCTTGGTTTATGAACTTTGCTTTGCTTAACGTTAATAATGGCTTAGCTTTATTTGTGAACCAGGCCACTAAGTTTAGTCTGCAAACAGTGGACCACTGATAAGCTGCTGTTGCGCTTCTCTGCCTGACAGTCTGCCCATGGTATGCCTCCTCGCAAGCTCATTCTCAGCTTCTCACCTCTTGCCTTGCAAAAGTGATTGATGTAATCAAAGCAGGAGTGAAAAACGTTACATAGATTCATGTTATAATACTGCCCACATAGTTTACACCTTTCCCTCCTTACTCTAAAGGGAATACGCTCCTTTTTGCAAGGCCAATTCCAGCCACATTTCATTTCAGAAGCAAGACCCACTTCCTTCAAAGGGTCTTGTTTCCAGCTAAGTATCCGAGCCAGGCAGTGCAATTCCTCTGCATGTTTACCTATAAGTTGCCTCACTTTGCTCAAAGGGGCTTCCTCCTACTGCGCCTAGGATTGTACACTAACAGCCTACAATCTAACCATGACTGCTCAGAACTCAGCCTTATTGACTGCAGTGGGGCTTACTCCCAGGTAAGTAGGGTTAGGATTACACTGCTGAGCTTCTCCTCTGTTCCCCAAGCAGCCATCTGCTCTGCCAATTCCCCCAGTGACTCCCGTTTCAACCACTGTCAGTTATTGCATCCATTGTTTCAAAATGCAAACCAACACAAACCCAACTCTGCTTCCTCTTTTCTTCCTGAAAGGGGTTGTTTTGCTCTGCAGGGCCTGCCCATTCCTGCCATGGCAACGATTGTGTCCGAAAAGCTCAGCCGCCTCTTCATCAGTGCCCAGCACTTCTGGAAAGTCCCTCGGCTGCTGGAGGAGGCCCTCCCCTCAGCCTCCTGCACGGTGGAGGCATCGGACGTGCCCCGGCTTTTCCAGAAGCCCTACATCCATGCCGGCTACCGGCCCCTCAACCAGACCTGGAAGTACTACTTCCTGTCGCTTTTCCAGCGGCACAACGAGGCCGTCAATGTCTGGACGCACCTGGTGGCTGCCTTGGTCCTGGTGGTGAGGTTCTGGAGGCTTTCGCAGGTGGTGGACTTCCTAGGCGACCCTCACACGCAGCCCCTCTTCGTCATTGCCGCCTCCTCGGTCATCTACGCAACCTTCAGCACCCTGGCACACCTCCTGCAGGCCAAGTCTGAGTTCTGGCACTGTGCGTTTTTCTTCCTGGACTATGTGGGCGTAGCCACATACCAGTACAGCAGTGCTCTGGTGCATTACTATTACGCCATTGAGCCCGAGTGGCACACAAGGGTTGCGGGCTTCTACATCCCAGGAGCCATTTTGCTTGCCTGGCTCTCGTGCGCCGGCTCCTGCTATGCCAAATACAGGAGCCCTCACCTCTCTTCCCTGCGGGGCAGGCTCTGCCAGGAAATGCCCTCTGCCCTGGCGTACGCCTTGGACATCAGCCCGGTGCTGCACCGCATCTACGTCTCCCCTTCCTCTGGACTCACAGACGTGGCCGTTTTATACCACAAGTGCCACGTCCTCTTTTTCCTGATTGCGGCCTTCTTCTTTGCCTACCCCTACCCCGAAAAGTGGTTTCCCGGCAAGTGCCACTTTGTGGGCCAGGGGCACCAGATCTTCCACGTCTTCCTGATGCTTTGCACCCTCACCCAGGTGGAGGCGGTGCTTCTGGATTATGAAACGAGGCGGCCCATCTACTCACGGCTCCACGGCGACCTGGCTCCACTTTTTTCTTCCCTATGCCTTCTTGTGGCATCCATCTGCTTCTTTACCGCCCTCCTCATGACTGCCAGAGTGCAGCGCAAACTGCATCGGAAAGAGGAGTGAGAAGGACAGAGTGGGGGAATAGAGGGTGGGTGGGTATTGATCTGCCAGTTTCCTTGTTCTCGCTTTGGGTGTGCCTGTGTCACTGTAATTCAGGGGACTGGACATTTTTGCCTGGCGCAGCTGGCGTTTCTTCCTATGGTTAAGAGCACGTCGCTTGCTCCCTTTGGGGTTGCTTACTACATCCGAGCAGCAGCGAGGGTGGGTCAGATATTGCACCAGAAAGGAAGTGGCATGAGCACAGCCATCTTGTGGGAGGAAGTGGCCTGCTTCCTGGATGCAATAGGACTTTCCAGGAGGTGGTTCTGTTTCCCCCTGCCTTCCCTTTGAGAGAGACAGTTACTCCTACACTTGATATGTCTTCCCTTCTGGTTTTCTCAGTGGTGGAAGAGTTCCAGGAGAGATGGACGAAGGCTAGCACCAGGTCCATACTTGACTAGATGGGAGGGTCCTTCAAGCATCAACGGCCTCTGGGCACATGCCAACTTTGCTCCATGCCAAAGCCATCCCTCGATGCTCTTTCAGCATGCCTGACCTATGCAGTCACAGACCCCATGGTGCATCTCCACAGCTGCTGGGGGAAGGGACCCTAGCAAGGTTGGGTCAGACTGTGGTGCCTTCACAGCTTGCCTTCTGGCTTTCCACAAGGTAGGGGTGTCCCAGAGAAATCATTCCTGTCAGGTGCAGCAACAATCATCCAGCTAGTTAGGAAGCTGCCATGTTTACGTGCCTTAAGGAGTGGAACCCCATAACCCTTTGGATGGGGTAAAGCTGAATTGTAATATTTGGAGTAAAACTCACCCTAGTAATTTAGGTGAATGTGATGCATCCAGGGAAAAATGAGTGTCTTGTATGTGTTTATCTAGAGTAGGGCTGGCTTTTGTGGCTGGCTTTTAAAAGTAAAATGAACACACACACGAGTGGTTAGGCCAAAGGACCAATTAAAGCAGGGCTGGGGACCCTTTTTCATCTTGAAGGTTGAATTCCTTTCTGGGCAACCTTCCAGGGCGAGAGACAAAAGTGGGCATCCTTTGTACAGGATGCTAATTCCTAAACACCCACACCCCTCTGCCCTCCATCCAGGCAAGCAAAGAGGCATTATCAGAGTTCAGTGACATGTTTCAGCCAACCAAAGACACTCCAGGAGGATGCAAAGCTCATCTGGCAACAGGTGTAGCTTAGGAGTGCATATGGCCTGGTGACAGTCCAGGGGGCTGGATAGGGAGGCCTATAGGGCCATGTTCAGCCCCCAGGCCTGACATTCCCCACCCCTGATCTAAAGCAACATTCTGTCCCCAGAAGGACACAGGAAGCTGCCATACCAGGCCAGGCCATGTGACCATCTACCCCAGGATTTACGCTGACTGGCAGCCGCTCCTTTTCACTGGAGGCAGCCAGGATTCGACCTGTGACCTACTGCCCTCTGCTCTGCCGCTGAGCACATGTTCCATCCCCAGCCAGAGATCCCTATAAAGCTCTTTGGTGGGGTGTTTTGGGGATAGCACTTCCCTGAACATCAGGGTGTACTTTGCCTGGAGGTGCCAGCTCAGTTGGTGAAGCATGAGACTCTTAATCCCAGGGCTGTGGGTTCGAGCTCCACGTTGGGCAAAAGGATTCCTGCATTGCAGGGGGGTTGGACTAAATGATCCTCGTGGTCCCTTCCAACTCTACACTTCTATTATTTGTAAGCCTGTGTGTGTGTCTTGTTTTAAAAGAGCGTCTGTGCTTGTGACCACTGAGAAATATTGTGCCGATGAATCCCCATGTTAATTATGCAGTTGATGAAAAAAGGCTTCTCCTCCTTGATTTAAAGCAGCGGTGGCTCACCTGTAACCCTCCAGGTGTTACTGGAATTCCATCAGCCCCAGCCAGCAATGGTCAGTGATAAGGGCAGCTTTAGTTCAACAACAGTCAGAGGACAGTAGGTCAGCTACCACTGGTTTAAAGGCATTTAACAGCAGGGAAGAGCCTATGAACATTTAATAGAACCATAGAATTGGAGAGTTGGAAGGGATCCCAAGGGCCATCTAGTCCAACCCTCTGCAATGCAGGAATCTCAGCTAAAGCATCCATGACAGATGGCCATCCAACCTCTGCTTTAAAATCTCCAAGGAAGGAGAGTCCACCACCTTCCAAGGGAGTCCATTCCGCTGTTGAACAGCTCTTGCTGACAGAACATTCTTTCTGTTATTTAGTCAGAATCTCCTTTCTTTTAACTTGAAGTCGTTCTACCCTCCAGAACAGGACAAAACAAGCTTGTTCCATCTTCCATGTGACAGCCCTTTAGATATTTGAAGATGGCTGTCATATCTCCTCTCAGTCTCCGCCTTTTCCAGGATAAACATACCCAGCTCCTTCGACTGTTCCTCATAAGGCTTGGTTTCCAAACCCTTGATCATCGTGGTTGCCCTTCTCTGCACACGTTCCAGCTTGTCAACATCCTCCTTAATTTGCTCAGAGGTAGGCGCTACTGTGTCCAGTAGGGCTCCTGACTCCCAAGTAAGCATTCATAGAATTGCAGCCTAAGGGGGCTGATAATGTTGCACTTCAGTGCCCCAAGCAAGTTTGTAGAAATACTCCAACTACTGGCGGCATGTGGCAAGACGACAATGCCTTGTGTCTTGAGACAGGATGTGGCCACCCACCTGGTTGGAATCTTCATTGCTTTTCAAAATGCAGCCATCTGATTTGACTTCACCCTGTCGGAAGAGTTGTGTGGATTGGCACTTATGAGCTTCCTTAAAGGGGGGGTGGGCTTGGTTGGAAATGGGGTGCTCTTCAAACCTCTTAAATCAAAGGTGTGGCTTTTAGCTGGCTTGAGTCTTGCTTTCAGTCGGACTAAAAAGCCCTTGCTTTTCAAGTAGACCTCTCGGAAGAGTGCCATTTCAGAATACCTGGTGGAATTGCTTGTTCAAGTTATTTCTGGTGCTTAAAAGTGAGGGCGGGGGGAGAAACCTCTCTGGACACAGAAATGTGGCATCATTCTAGACTGTATAGTTAGCACAGAAGATGAAGAGGGGTTAGGAGCAAAAGCCCCATGGGTTGCATGGCATTATTTTGAAGGCTGCATGTGACCGTCCCTGTGTGTGTTGGGGGGTTGTTGTTTATATCTCAACACAGCCACTTTTGGTCTTGTACAACATTTTGGAAAGATGATCTTAATCTCTTCAAATGGCCATACTTAATCATCAACATTTTTTAAATTTAAAGAACAAAACCTATCATGTTAGGGAGCAAATTGGTCCAGAACATGCTCCTTTCCCACATGGCAGTGATTTCTCTCTCTCTGGGGAAGCCTTGCAACATGCTCCCACATCGGAATTCTAAAGTGGTATCCTTTCAAGAGAGATATACCAGATATACACTATTTCTGAATGTGTTTGGTGTTCACCTAATGAATATGATGCAATTCAGAGTTTCATATAAAGGAAATTTCAGGGAGTTAGACAGAATTTTGCAGGAACTAAGGCTGGGAAGGTCATGTTGTGTGTGTTTTTTCCTGTCTGATATTTTATAAGTTTTAATGGGCCTGTTTCTGCCATTTGTTTCTATAAAGCAATTTTCACAAGCCAAATGTTTTATAGTCTTCTGTCTCGTTCATCCCCACAGCAACCCTTTCGACAGCAGCATAACTAGGACATCGTCTGTAGAGACAACTTTGATAGGGGTGCAAAATTAGTTACCAATAGTCACAAACACATATTGATGTGGGTTTCTCTCCTCTCAACAGGCATTGTGACCACTGGACATTCTCATTCCCGATATGCTCTTGTGGGAAGGGGGGGGGTCTTCCCTTTCCCATCCTCTATGATTTTCCACCCTGAAGTATTTTTGTACTTCTGCAAACCTTGGGGTTCCCTCAAGTCTTCTGCTACCTCTTTCTTGTACATGGATGGTTAGGCTACATGAGGACCAACACAAACTGCCTGGACATTGGATACAGAAGGGATGGTTATAATAATGTCATGCTTTGCAAGAATTAAGCTGGTTTCCAGAGCAGTATATTTATTTCTGAAAGTAGTGTTGCATGGCGCCCCAGTCTCCAAGCAGTGCGAGATTCTAGGGTTCATTTTTCCTTGGGAAATGAGGCACAGTGGAGAACATGATGTCTTTGTGATATATGAAATATGGTTTATTTATACAGTGGTACCTCTGGTTGCGAACACCTCTGGTTGTGCACGCTGCGGGTTATGAGCTCCAGTAACCTGGAAGTAGCTGCTCCCGGTTGCGAACTTTGCCCCAGGATGCGAACGGAAATAGAGAGGCGCGCTTTTGCTAATGGCGCCTCATGTTACGAGCGGTTTCCGGTTATGAACGGACTTCCAGAACAGATTCCGTTCGTAACCAGAGCTACCACTGTACCTGAGCCTATGAAGGAAGGGGTTCAAAGCACTATACTCCAAGAGAGTCCTTTCTCTCCCATTGCTGCAACCTTGCGATTCAAACAGGCAGTCTACACTGTGCTCCAGCTCCTCTCTCCAACTTGCTGCAACAAACTGGAACCTTTTCTGCTAGGGCAAATCATCACCACTGCAACCTTAAACAACTGCTCTCCTTTTGTCTCTGCTCACTATCTCAGGGCGGGGCTGGCACAGGGTCTTTGCTTTGCTGATAGCCCATTTCCTTGTCTTTGTTCTCTGTTAATGACCTATTTCTCAGGCAATCTCCTGACATAGTAGCTGAGTCCAGCTGTTAAGAATCTGACTTCTAGTGATTCTTCAAGCATTGATTAAATTCTAACACTTACTAAATTCATGAACTATGGGAGTCTGGCACTCATAAATTCTGGTACCTGCAAACTCAAAACTTTCATTTCTTCCCCGGAGAGTGGATTTCAAGGAAGACAACTTAGCAACACCACCATTTAAAACAAAAATGCAGTTTAAAGGAAAATGTCAAATAATTATCCAGCAGTGGTAACAAAGCTTACCAGCAACCAAACTAGGGGAATCCAGAAGGGACTGAAATCAACAAACAGTTCTGTGAAAGGCAGACCTAAGGAAGGCAATTTTGACCTGCCATTTGACTCTCCCAATTTGTGGTCAGCTGTGTCTTTTTTTGGGGTGGGGGTTTCACAATCTGGCCACTGGTGAGGAAAAGGCTCTGCAGGGTCTCCCACATGCTTGCAGTGTGCAGGCAGCTTTCTGAGGAGGAAAATATTCCTGCATACAGTAGATGAGAAGCAGATCCAACATCTGGAGAAGCGGACACGGAGCAATGGATCCAAACTACAAGAAAGAAGATTCCACCTAAACATTAGGAAGAACTTCCTGACAGTAAGAGCTGTTCGACAGTGGAATTTGCTGCCAAGGAGTGTGGTGGAGTCTCCTTCTTTGGAGGTCTTTAAGCAGAGGCTTGACAACCATATGTCAGGAGTGCTCTGATGGTGTTTCCTGCTTGGCAGGGGGTTGGACTCGATGGCCCTTGTGGTCTCTTCCAACTCTATGATTCTATGATTCTATGATCTGGCCCTGGCACCTTGGCAGAGCCCCCTCACACTGCTGCCTGCATGGCTTCCACCCCACCCCCCGCACTGCTTGCAGGGCAAACCTAGGTATAGCAGTCATAATTCAGCTGGTGGCTGCCATTTTGTTTTGCTGGAATGCCTCAGGCAGTCCAGAGCATTGCAAGGAAGGAATCATAAAATTGTAGACTTGGAAGGGCCGCTGAGGGTCAACCCCCTGCATTGCAGGAATCTCAGCTAAAGCATCCAGGACTGTTGGCCGTCCAATTTCTGCTTTAAAGCCTCCAATGAGTCCACCATCTCCCGAGGGAGTCTGTTCCACCTGTGATATGATACCCATCCTCTTTATGGAGGATAATGCTGTCAATGGCTGCTAGACATAATGACTATGTTCTGCCTCCAGTGTCAAAGACAATATGCTGCTGAATAGTTGCT